GAACCACTTTAAAGCAGAACTCCAGGCACAAAAAAAAAACAATGAAAGATATTCCTCAATACAAACAAAGGACTAAGGGTCAGTTCATACCAGAACTCAGTGAGGGAAGCTTGTGTTTCATACATGTTTCCCTCCCCACGTGTAAAGCGCACTACAATTCCAATCTGCAGCAGTTGTCAGCATTAAGTTAATGACACCCCAAACATAGGTCATAAACGAAGTGCGTACAGAAGTACCATGCCATGGGGTTGCAGTGAGTTTGCAAAAGTAGTGCATGCATTCTTTTGGTGCGGTGCAGTGGGGTGCAATTTCAAGTGCACAGAACTGCATGTGAATTGCACAGGAACGCACAACCTGTGCAACTCCCCGTGTGAACCGGCCCTAAGAGAAAACTGAGTAAAGATGCATTAGTGCTGCAGCACTTTTTTTTCATTTCAATTAATTTTATTGAAGGTTTATTTTGCAGTTACAACATAATAATTAGTAAAACTATGTTTATTGGTACATTGCCATGAGATGGAAACATACAACCATCTACTGTATCACCTTGCAATCAGTACATCTCAGTTATGTGAACAGCATTAAGATGTAGTTTTTTTTTTCAGGGGTTAAGTTTAACAAACTTCGCAAGCAACCGAAAAGGGCATATACATCTAGGAAAATGGTAATATGATGAATATTAATTCTTTTTAGTGTTTAAAGTGATATTAAAGGCATTTTTTAAATAAACATGCTATACTTTCATGCTGTGTGCAGTGGTTTAGCACAGAGCTGCCAAGATCCTCCTCTTCTCTGGTCCCCCACCAGCGCTCCTGACCCCTTCCTCCTGCTGAGAGCCCCCATAGCAAGCAGTTTCCTATGGGGGCACCCAAACAGGCTCGCTCCCAATCCACTGCTCTATGTGTCCATTTGCAAACAGAGCACGGATCAGCCTTGTCCCCGCTCTATCTTCATTGACTCACTGGCTGTGATTGACAGTAGCGGCAGCCAATGGTTTCTGCTTCTGTCTCAGCCAATGAGGAGGGAGAGTCCACTGCTCTCTAACACATCTTTGGATCCAGAGGTGGCTCAGGGAAGTACTGAGTGGGGGGAAAGCTGCACATAGAAGTTTTTTTTACCTTGATGCATAGAATGCATCAAGGTAAAAAAAAAAACCTTGAGCCTTTAAATCCACTTCAAAGATTTTCCCTAAAATATCATTTTACTTTTGTCCGCTTTCAACAAAGCAACCTTCACCTTGTCATTTCTTTATTTGAACATTTACTGGACGTGGGCCTGCCACATTCATCTCTACTGCAAAGGTATAACTGAAAGCTGCAATGGTGCTAACTTTATCTGTTTACTTTTTCAGGACCATTGCATCTAATGGTGTAAGCAAAATACCATATGATAGAGAGCAAAGGAAGTTTTTTTTACTGGGGTTGAAAGAAAAAGATAGATTTAAAACAAATCAAAAACAAAATGATCCAGGATGCATCTTAGACTCACATGAGAAATGTATTTAACCACTCATAGAAGTGCATGTTGTGGTTAAGAATTTATAGTTTCCCATGTGTTTAACAATGTCCCTCCCTGAGATATTCTTAGCCGTTGGATAATTATTGGGATTTTTCTGAATCTTTTAATTAAAACTCAAACTATATGATTTTAGCTTTCTATGTGGTTTGGAATGCTACCAACTTCACAGTACTATAGGGACCATGAGTAATCTTCAAAATTAACCTTTTCCTTCCACATAAGAAATATTGAAAATTATTTACATTTTTCTGTGAATGGGAGATCTTTATTCTAATGGAGCATTCCAGATTGCCTTAAGTCCCACTTGAAGACCCACAGATTCTTTATGGGGGACAGGATGTGGGAAAGAAGCCCGAGTGCCACATGCTCTCCCAAAGCTGAGAGCATGTGGCCTGGTGTGGTCCAGGAAGGGAACCTGTATACAAACTGCCCTGTTTTCCTAACCAGTCAGATTGCATGCCTGTATAAGGGTCTTTTATGATAATTTAGTAACCCAACACCAGTGTTTATTTAAATGTAAGCTGGCCCTTTAAGAGAAAAACAAAAAAACAGTGTGGAGTCTTCCTAAAAATTAATAAAAGATTCTTACCCAGGCATGCAGACTAACTGGCCAAAAAAGGGGGAGGAGGCAGTGAATGTGCAGCTTCCCATTCCTGAACCATAGCAAGCCACGTTTCCTCAATATCTGAAGGGTACATTTCAAGAGGAGCCAACAAAGCCACCTCCCTTGCAAAGCATCTTGTCCTCTTGTTGATGAAGACCAAGGGCTCATCCCCACATCCTGTCCCCCGGGGGGGGGGGGGGGGGAGGACTGTGAAAGGTGACTAATTGAAATATTTAGAATTCTTTAAAGAATAAGTTCACCTTTGGAAACATGTTACATGTTCTAGCCGTTTTTAAGGCTGCCGCCCCCCCTCCCTCTGACAGATAGTACAGGGAGAAGTTTCTCCATACTATCTGTCAAATTTGAAAACAGCGCGGCCATGGGGGCGCCACGCTCATGGCCGCATCATTCATTCACGGACCAGCCTTAGCAGCTGTGGGCTTGTAGTTTTCAATGAACTGCCACAGTGCTGTGGAGTGCCGTGGTAGTTCATTGAAGCTTCCTGTCAGTATATCTGCTTGGCTGTACATCCCGTACGGCAAGCAGATATTCTGACAGGTCTGCAGGAGACCTGCATGGCATTAGCGATCTACTGATCGCTGGTGCAATGATTTACAGTCTCCTTTGGAAAATAATTATAAATGCACATTTTTTTACCTGCAACAAAATGTGCATTTGTTATTTTTGTCCAAAAGGTTAACTTTTCCTTTAAACTAAGGGGAATTCCAGATATTTGCCTGACCTCCAGGTGAATCAGTTAGGCAGGCATAGAACACACCTTGTTACTCATTCTCAAATAAAATAAATAGCGAGCAAGAACCCCCTCATTGTGAAAAGAGTTCTTAAAAAAAAAAGTTCTTAAGGAGCTAAAGGATTTCTCAAAAAAATTTAATTTCATCCAATAATGTAGCTCCACAACATTACCATATTTGTGCATTAATACATGTCTCCCATGGCATTTCCCAGCTACCTATGCCCTTTTTATCATAAGCTTTAAAACCGGCCTTTACAATTTGACTTGCATAAACTTCAGTGCTTTGTTCAGGTTTAAAGCAGTAGTAAATTTTAAAAAAAAAACATTTTCCCCTGCAAGGCAATGTCATAATGTGCCAGTATGCATCACATACCTTACCTTAAAACGAAGTTCTCCAGTGGAGCACTGTCACCACTGACAGGGCTTCCATCTTCTCTCGGGTCCCCCTTCCAGGTTCGAGGGCTCCGGCAGCTTGAATGGCCGAGCCACGATGATGCAATTACTTTTTATGGTACACTGCTCTGAAGGAACAGCACAGACATGCCGTTTCTTCAGAGCGCATGCGCCGGTGCTCTACACAGGTAAATATCTCCAAAATGGTGCATATTTATGAGATATTTACAATACCTACAGGTATTATAACCCCTTTATTATTATTACTTTAATACAACCCCTGGCAAAAAGTATGGAATCACCACTCTTGGAAAATATTCATTCAATTGTTTGTGTAGAAAAAAAAACAATCACAGACATGCTTCAAAACTATTTTCATTTAACATTCCAACCTTCCGTCTTTATGAAACACTTAAAAAATAAAAAAGAAAGAAAACTGTAGTCAATTGCAAATGTTTTTGCAGATCAAGCAAAGGAAAAAAAATATAGTCACTAAATTCTAAGGAAAATATTATGGAATCACCATGTACTTTGCAGTTCTAAAAGAAACATCTGCATTAAATTACATCTGCTAATTAGTCTGCAGTTAAAAAAAAGAGTGCTTGCACACCTTATTTGTATATTTATTTATTTGTATTTATTCTTTAACATATGTTTAGACACAAATTTTTTATATTTTTTCCTTGCCCTTTGATGTTTAATAGATTATATATTTGTTATATGACTTTATCATCTGCAGACATCTGTCATCATTGGGGCGGCTTGTCCGCTTGATTCTCCATTGATGGCAGCTGATCGTTTCTTTTGCAGTGCATATTTAATGAGGTTGCGACGTCTCACATCCATCCGCTCCGTGAGGACGTCGGTGACGAAATGCGTAGGGCAGAGCTTGATCGATGTGACATCATTACGTTTCCCAGCGAGCTACTGCGCATGTGCCGAGTGGCTGGGTTCGTTTTTCATTGTGATTCCTGTATGCTGTTAACGCTGGTGTCGGCTGGGACACCTTTTGAGATAAGTGCAATGAGTGCATAATAAAGGAAGCTGTTTTTTAATAATACTGCACCATGAAGTTCTTTTGTTTCTTCCGAGTGTCTGACATTTCCCCTCTTGGATACGATTAGGGTGATCTTTTTGGAGAAGTGGATTTCCTTGATGGTATTTGATTCTAGAGCATTTGCTCCATTTGAATTTGGTCTGCTTGAATCTGGGTTCTGCAGAATATTACTCCCTGAAGACACATCCATGAATGGTCTATTACTCTAATAATACCACCGCTCCCAGAGCAATATATGCTTCAGTTTTTTATAGCTCTGGTGAGTTTATTTAGTATTTTTGGTGGTGGATTGTCACATTTATATTTTTATTTTTTTGTGCACGTTTTTGGATCTGTATTACACATCTCAAATTTTGGACTGTTTGTTTGGACATTTTTTTTATATATAAAAAAATCTTTTTATATGTATTTATAAATATTATTTACATGGATAATATTTTATATATATATTTTTTTTTTTGATTCATAGATATATTCTAATATTTATTTACTAGCGCAAATTATATTTTGTGGTATTTGTTACACTTTATTTATTTATGGTGGATTTTGCAGCTGGTATATCAATTAAGTGATCCATACACATATATTTTTTCTCTTTCTTTCCATAGGCGCCATTATATTTATTTACTTGCACACCTTGGTGAGCTGTTGCACTAAGCTGATTAACATGAATCATGGCTCCAACGTGAGAGATGGCAGTTGAAACAAAGGAGATGATTATAAAACTTCTTCAAGAAGGTATATCATCACGGAATGTTGCAAAAGATGTTGGTTGTTCCGTCAGCTGTGTCTAAAATCTGGACCAAGTACAAATCAAATGGGAAGGTTGTAAAAGGGAAGCATACTGGTAGACCAAGGAAGACATCAAAGTGTCAAGATAGACAGCTTAAAGTGTTCCCAAGAAAAAAAAACCTCTCTAGCAATACTTACCATACTAAGCTTGTGTAGAGTGACTCCACATGATATGTCTTATCAGGAGATAAGAGGGGGACACTGGAAGACGGGGAGGATCAGAGAAGTCAGGATCAAACATCCTTTTTACACAATGCAGAGGATTAACCCCTGAGGTTCCACAGTGAGTAAACAAGCATGCTTTACTGCATATACAGACTGATTTTACTGTTGTGGGTTTAGTAACAATTTAAGGCAATATACTTTGAATACAGAAAATGCATAACAAAACAAATGAGGAACAAATGGGCAGAAAATGGAGTCAATGTCGGTGACCAAACTGTAAGACATTGCCTAAAAGAAATTGGATTTGCATGCAGAAAAGCCGAATGAAAATCGTCATTAACACCTAAACAGAAAAAAACAAGGTTGCAGAGGTCTAAAGAAAAGCAATCATGGACTGTGGATGACTGGATGAAAGTGATATTCAGTGATGAATCCTGAATCTGCATTGGAAGGGTGATGATGCTGGAACTTTTGTTTGGTGCCATTCCATTGAAATTTATAAAAGACATCTGCCTGAAAAAAACATGCACATTTCCACAATCATTAATAATATGGGGTTGCAAGTCAGGTAAAGGTACAAGGGAAATGACAGTCATTAAATCTTCAATAAATGCACAAGTTTATATTAAGATTTTGGATACTTTTTTTATTCCATCAATTGAAAGAATGTTTGGTGATGATGACATCATTTTTCAGGGTGATAATGCATCTTGCCATAAGGCAAAAGCCATAAAAACTTTCCTTCAAGACAGATATACAGTACTGTGTAATGTCAATGGCATGGCCTGAAAATAGTCTGGACCTTAATCCAATTGAAAATCTATGGTGGAAATGAAAGAAACTGGTCCATGACAAGGCTCCAACTGACAAAGCTGATCTGGCAACTGCAATAAGAGAAAGTTGGAGCCAGATTGATGAAGAATACTGTTTGTCGATAGTTAAATCCATGCCTCAGAGAATTCAAGCTGTTATAAAAGCCAAAGGTGGTACAGCAAAGTACTAGTGGTGTACTGTAATGATTCCATAATATTTTCCTCAGAATTGAGTGATTCCATATTTTTTTCCTCTGCTGGATGTGCAAAAACAGTTGCAACTGACTACAGTTTTATTTTTTATTTTTTAAGTGTTTCTTAAGGCTAGAAGATTGGAATGTTAAATTAAAATAGTTTTGAGGCATATCTGATTAGTTTTTTTTTTCTACAATTGAATGAACATTTTCCAAAAGTGGTGATTCCATACTCTTTCCTAGGGGTTGTATAAGCTTACCTGTAGGTACAAGTATAAAATTAGATTTTACTACCAATTTACCAATTCCTAGGTCCTCTGATCCTTCTGCAAATCAAACTTTTCCTGGTTTGTGTGTCACCATTAGGAAGGTTTTTGGGAACTGAAATTCAATCCTACAGATAATTCTTTACAATACATGCATTTCATTTAAACTTAGATTGAACTTTCAGCTAGAAAATGAGGAATGATCTGAATGGATGACATCATATGACAATACTCACAAATATTTGACTGAGAATTTGCACTGCCCAATATGTTCCTGATTTTTGAGCAATCTACTGTTTCTTTGTTGACTCATTATTGACTTGATTGTTACTATGAATTTTGCCTGTGGCATGTTTGTCTTCTTAACAGAGATTATCATATGGTTATCAGAGTGGAAATGCAGAACTGTGTAACACTGTATAGTCAGAAAGATAATAGTGAGGGGGCACTAGGAACCAATGTTCTGTTCTGTTGGAAAACTAATAAGCCCTGTAGTAATTTGCCATTACTACAGTTTATATGAATAAATATATTAAGCTGATAACACACAAAAAGTTCTAATTTCTTGTGTCTATTGAACGCACCCACTGAACATTTACAGTTCTGGAGGAAAAGGTAAGTGAACCCATAGACTAATTACTTTAATGAAAGCTAATTGGAGTCATTAGTATTCACACCTGGAGTCCAATTAATGAAATGAGTGTGGAGGTGTGAATTAGAGCCACTTTGATTGGTAAAAGACACTCAAACATTTTAAGATTGCTGTCCATAAGAAGCATCAGCTGATGTGAACCACGCCAAAAAGGAGCTCTCTGAAGACATACAATTAAGAGTATATTGATCTGCATACAGTAAGCCTGGAAAAGATTACAAAGCAATCTCAAAGTGTTTAAGCATCCAGTCAACATTTAGACAAAATGTCTATAAATGGTGTGGTATGGGAGATGTTTAATGTTTGTACTGAGTCTATGTCACAGAGGTATTATAGTTAAGGGCCAGGTAGTCCACTTTTATTAAAAGAGAAAACAAAACAAAAGTCCAAAATGATTTTCCACACAGGGGTTTCAACTTCATTCAGCAAACATAAATGAAAAATACTGTGCCACCTGGCTCTCTGGTTAGCAGTACCTCTGCTTGTTTGGGTCTTCCGGACCACTTGCTATTCAGGCTCTCTTTCTGACATAGGTGCACAGAACCTTGCTGTTCAGGCCCACATGGCCTCTTGACAGGGGTTTCCCAGTATCTCCAGTTGTCACCTACCAGAGACTTCTGGATTCTCTCCAGCGCTCCTGGACTTACTGGCCTCCACAGCTTCATCAGTCCCCCAGACCCTCTTTTGTTCTCTCCAGACTCTCAGAGCTGGCCAGACTTTCCCAGTCGTTGGATCCGGAATACCCCTCACACAAATTGTAGGAACTCACAGCGGTCCTGACAGGGTTTTGTCTCCAAACATCTCCAACTCCCACCACCTACAGCGTTCACAAGCCCATCATTATAAGGGCTGTGTGCACCTGGGCACACAGCCTGCTGGTTGTCCACAACACACAGACACTGGGTTGGAGATTTTGTCCCACCCAAGACTCTTAGGAAGCACCAAACTACAGAGCCCCATCCGTCAATACCAAGATCCAGAGAAAGCTGCAAAAGCAGTTTTCTCCACTTAAAAGCTATGCTCTGCAGCCCTGCAGTCAGCAGACATGCAAAATCTGTGTCTTTTCACTGGCCATTTCCATAGTGACAGAGCCTCGCACTGTCACAACGGAGACAGTTTAGTACTGTGGCTACTCTTCTAAAAGTGGGTGCCCAGCCAAGATGACTCCCATGGCACAATGCAGAATTCTCAATGAGGTAAAGAAGAACCCACAAGTAACAGCTAAAGGCTTGAAGACATCACTGGAACTGGCAAACATACTTGTTCACTACTTTACTATACATAAGCATTTGAACACGCAGGGTGTCCATGGCAGAACAACACAGAGGAAGCTATTGCTCCCCAAAAAACATTGCTGCATACCTGAAGTTTGCCAAAGAGTACCTTGGCAAACCACAAAACTACTGGGTACATTTTTTGAGGACTAATGAAAGAAAAGTTGAATTGTTCAGGAAGACTACTTAGCACCAGGCATCCTACAAATGTGTCTGAGCTGAAGCAGTTTTGTACAGAGAAATGGTAAAAAATTCCTCCTGAATGTTGTGCAGATCTTATCCAGAGCTACCCAAAGTATTTGCTTGAAGACATTGCTAGCAAAGGAGGTTCGACCAGCTATTAACACCAAGAGTTCACTTACTTTTCTCCCCAGCACTGTGAATATTTAATAGGTGTGTTTAATGTAGGCACAAAAAATTGTTTGTGTGTTATCAGCTTAAGCACATTGTTGTGACTTAGATGAGGATCGGAGCACATTTTATGGCACATTAGTTGGAAACCAATTTATTCCAAGAGGTTCACCTACCTGTTCTTGCCACTGCAGAATTTGCAACCAGCGTGTGGAGCCCAACCTAGAGCTTTGTGACATTGGGATTCCGCTGTGGCTGTGGCAGTGACATTGTGCACAACTCCAGTTTGTCACTCTTCCAACAGGAAGCTGAGGACAAGTGATCTGCCTGCAGGTCTGTAGCTCACCCACCAAAGATCCTCCACACCGTACGGACCACCCAGCCTACTCCACTATTCACAGCAGCCGGGTCCCTCCTCTCAGCTTCAGCCTGTAGTCCCAAGGTAAAAGCCCTTTTCCTGGGGTCTCTTCCAGCATTCCATCTCCTCTTCCTGTCAGCTGGAACTTGTAGTTCACAGAAGTATTGATCTCTCTGCAAATCCAGCCTTCTGAACTAGATATCCCACAATCCTCCGCTCTTCTGTAGGGTCCTTACTTTCTCTGTGCCTCTGAACAATATTTTGCTATCACAGCTGAACTCTAGAGAGAGCGCTAGCTCAACATAGTTATTATGAATGTCTTTCAATGATACAAGCAAGTTAGCCAGCACTGGGCTATAATTATTTATAACATACAAATGAGACAACATAAACAGAAAATTGTGCTGTTTTTCTTGAGACACAATGAGCTAAAATGGAGAGTCCAAAATCTGATGCAGCTCTGCAAAGAAACCAGTCAGCTTCCAGGTTTTATTGCCAAAGCTTAATTGAACAAGCTGAAGTAACAAGCTGATTGGTTTCTATGCAGAGCTGCACCAGATGTTTCACTCTCCAGTTTTAGTAAATCAACCCCAATGAATACATCCAGGGACGAAAATATCAGTGCAACTTGTACTTCTATAGGGATAAGCTTTGAGTTCATGTGGAACCCGAACTCAAGTTGTTTGCAGTTTGGTAAAATGGCAAACTAATGTGGCTGTTCTTCCTTGACTCTAAACTGTGGCCAGATGGCTTAGATAGGCCAATCATGGGGTTTTGCTTATGTTCTAGCTCTTTCCCTATAAAAGTCGGTAGTCCTTTGTCAATGTGTGTTTAAGACAACTGAAGGAGATAGGGAAAAATCAGTGTTAGCAGAAAGAGTGAGTGAGCTGCTGTTATATAGTTCTGCTGACAAATGGTAAACCTAGTGCTGTATTGTGTTACATTACTGTGAATTGCAGAGTGGTGGGTTACGTATTATTGTGTACCCCCTTTTACAGTGCATAGACCACAAAGAACTTACTAGAACTACCTGTTTTTTATTTAGTGTTTTCATATTTCTTTTTGAAATTTCAGGTTTTAAGAAACTCAAAAGAACAGGTTGGGGTTTAGTTATTTAGGGATTGGGTTTGGAGATTAGTGTCATAAGCTTAGAGTTTACTGTTTTAGGTCTTATTTCTTTAACCCCTTCATGTACAATTTTACAACTTTGGCATGTGTTAGTAAAACCAAACATATCATCACAACTACTTTGTACATCCAGGTGAATTACACCTCAGAACAAATTGGGCTTTCATTTGGTGGTAAATGCTAATGAATATCTCCTGATTTTTTCTTTTTTAGAATCAAAGGAAAACTGTCCCAACATAGTAAAAAAAATATATATTTTTTTAATTTAGCTGTGTGTTTCTTGTTAATACCAAAACCTACTACCAAAGAACA